CCTCGTATCCCACTCCCAGGTTTAGAACGGATCGATACAGATGAGTCCAAAGGAAGCAAGACTTTGTACAAGAGATATTGTTATTGATAGTTGTAACATGAGATGAGATAGGTTAAATAGTGAGGATGTTAAGTCGATGTTTAGAATTTGTATTAAAAGTAAATAAAAGTATTGTGCCTTGGGCGAGAGCTCGGTGGACGGCTCAACTTGTAGTTAAACATGATGTATAATAACAGATAGGTAGTTGGGTCGTTACAAATTATGGTTAAATATTTCATACATTTGAGAATTGTACGTACTTTTTTGGATGCCAAATATAAAACAGAAAGAAAAAGTCTCTCAAAATTGTTCTTATATATATTATGCTTCAAAATAACTCTTAATAGCGCAACATATAGTTAGTCATGAGTAAAATTTGTCATGGCAAATATAATACAACTTAGGAGACTCGTCGATCTTAACTTTTATTTATAATTATTCGAAAAAAGTAGCCAAATAAGCTCTCTTCTCTTAATTTTGAACAGATATGGTGTGTAGATGAGAAAAAGTAAGATACAACGCATGTGAAATTAGTTAGGGCAAGCATAATCTAACTCAGAAGACACGTTGATCTTAACTTTTATTTATTATCATTGCAAAACTAAGGGCCAAATAAAGCCCTCTTCTCTTCATTTTGAATGGATATATAGTGTATGTTAGACAAAGTAAGATCCAGCACAAGTAAAGTAAATGAAGAGAAGACATTATTGTCCAATTATTACATTCACTTGAATGATACATTTACTCTACCATAGAATTCGAATCATAACATCATTGTACAAACATAACTTGCTGGTCAACATTTTTGAATAATATAATTAAAACGCCTTTCTTGAGTTTAACTTATCAGAACACCTTTCATACAAAGATGTATACCATCCTTCTCTTTAATCCTTAATGAACTTCTGCAAAAACTACAAACACTTCATTGGCTTCCTTCTACAAAGCCACATTTAATGCTGTTTTTTTTTTAAATGTAGAATCTCTAATAGGAATAAAAGATCATTTCACGTACCTGTTATATTATAGAGGATGCAGGTAGTATCTTCTTGATCAGGATTTGGATACCAAAAACACTTTTTGTATAAAAGAACGGAGTGGAAGTAGTATCTTCTTGATCAGAATCTGGGAAACTGAAAACACACAAATCCATTAAAATTATTAATGCACTTGAAACGTTTGTATATCAAATTATAAGAAAAACCCTTCTTTTTTTGGTTTCTCTGGGCACCCATTCCAAACTTCTAAACACACTCACTTTCGTTCTCCCCTGAAAATCGTAGGAGACTATGTTAATCTTCTTTGAAACATACAGTCAACTTCTTTTTGATTGGTCTGCATATAATCCACAGCAAATCACTTCACCATAAGAAGGTTGTGGAAAAAATTAAAACAAAATGATTCAAAACTAGTAGCAAAATAAAAAAAAATCTCAGTGTTTAAAACACTGTTATTCCTGAAATTACGTTTTTAAGATGTTGTAAATACTTATAACCGGAGGCATTCACTGTACGTGATCAGAAGATAAAAAGCTCTAATCATTTGCAAAATATTGACAAAATAATAATAAAACAAATTAGAATAAATCCATATCACAGAATTGAAAGTGTAACTTGGAATTGACTCAATTTACTTGAGTTCGCAATTGGCATACAAGAGCGAAGAAGTGTAAAGGACAAAGCGAAAAATGATGACTCAATAAAAGATAATTTTTTAGCCTTTTATTTGAGAAAACTCACCCGTGCATAAATTTAGGTATGTTTTGTAAATCAATCTAATTTTAGTTTAGATATGGATCAAATTAGTTAGGAGAGATATATGATTATTTATTTTTACGTGCTAATTTATCTTCATTTAATTATAAATTTTTTTTATGTATAGGAATATATGTATATTTTATGTTTTTCACAGAATTCAAAAAAAAAGGTCAGTTGTGAGGATAATTATTATCAAAATTTAACGGATTAGTTAATATGTTCACCTATTCTTTTAATTAATAAAATTTCAAAGTCATTACCATGTACTCTATAGTCCACAATATTATATACTACCTCCGTCCCAAAAAAATAATCTACATTGATATTGTAAATTTGTACTGTTTTTAGTACAAATTTTAAATTCAATGTGGACTATTTTTTTGGGACGGAAGGAGTAATAAATTGTACTAAAATAGGAAAATTTACAAAATCAACTATTCATTTTATAACAGAGTAAAAAAAAAAAAGAATCGAATTTATTCAAATTTAAGGAATGATATTTTTATGATTACACAGATGACATAGTTAATAGAATATGAAAGTTTGAAACTTGCGGTAGTTATCATTTAATCAAGACATTCAATAGTTTCTTCCCCAAAAGTGCAGATTAAGTTAGTTTGACAGTAATTGCATTAGTTATGGAGTCTATCCAGTTAATATTAAAATAATAAATTTAATTGAATTTATTATCTTATAAAATATTTAAACTATGGTACAAATTCAAAAATTAGTTAAACGCTCAAAAATATTAAACGTAATAGCAATTAGGTATTAGGAAGTAAAAGTAATACTGAAAGTAATAAAATTATTAGAATATAAGATGGATCACAAATCCTGAATCGAATTTCAAATCTCAGAGACTAAAGAAATTGGGACTATACTCTTTTAAGATTTATTGTTAGAATAGAAAATTTGGTAAAGAAGAAGATCTGCAAAAAGTTGGTTAAGATTGGGAGGAGGGATGATTTGGTTCTTTTTTTTTTTTGGCTTTTTTTAATTATTTTTTTACTGAAGATCCAACCGACGATCTATATATTCTAACATGAGGTTTCTATCATTTTTTCTTTATTCTTTTACTGAAGGTTTAACGATTTTTTTTTTTATCTTTTTAATATAATAAATCAAAAAAATGAGAAAATTATCAGTCCTATGTGGCAAGTGGAAAACTATCACAATTTCCTCTTTCTGGGTTTTCTATTATTAGGTTATATAGATATATATATATATATAATTAATCTCATTATGATTAATGATAAAATAATTCAGTAAAACTTTAGTACTCCCTCCGTCCCATAATTATTGTCTAGTTTGAGTTATCATTTCTAGTTCAAATTGTACTAAAACTGAAATCTCAAACTGGATAATAATTTAAGGAAAGAGGGAGTACTTCTTATGTTGTACAACGATATTCCTATTTGTATTTTTTTTTTCACTTTTAATGTTATTTGTGTTAAAAATGAAAATCCAACCGGGACAACCATTTCAGAACAGAAATAATACTATTATTGCATTACTACTTTTCAATTTCAAAAAAATTAAACCATTCGCTAACTTGCGGGGCTTTTTCAAAGAATGAAAGGAAAATTTGGAATTTCTAGGTCTGTATCGTACTTTCAGCTAGTAATCAATCACCAAATCAGTTTTCATTTGTCACCATTGGAACTTCATTTTGTATTGTCGGTTTTCTTTGTATTATTCTTATTATATTATTATTTTGGGTATATTGCTTGGTGTAGTATGTGCACATTAGTGTTGTCATAATCTGTTCAATTTAAAAAGAAATTAGTCTTTTTCAATATCTTTGTACACGGCTGTTTTATAAGATGTTTCTTATTTGTGCATGGTTACTGATATGGAACGACGTGTAAAATAGACCGTACTTGTTCGATCATAAAATCACATAGCTCGATCCTAAAATTGCATTAGTCAACTGTATGGTTCATGGTGATCACAATCACTGGAACAACTTTGAAACTTCTGCAGTTTTCCGATCCCTTGATTCACTTCCCTTACTTTTGGTGAATAAATTAAGGGTTGTCTATATGTAAATTAAGTGTTGAAGGCTTTTGTGATGCAGTAAACTCTCTCTTCTGGGCACAATCAAAAAATCAAAAGGTCTTGATCTTAAAATGAAAAATGAAATGCTACAAAACCAAAATGTCTATACAAAATAAATGAATAAATCTAATCATACTTTTTTCTTCCCAAATCTAAGCAGATGTTCCCTATCATATTTTTATGGTTCTAAAAGAATAATGAAAAATAAATGGAACAAAATAACAACAAAAAGAAGGAAAAAAAAAAGAAGCAAAAGGGGAGTTTTTGTTAATTTCCGATATTTATAGAGTTATTTTTACAATTTTAAAACTATTTTTTTAATTAAATTTATTATTTTATTAAAATAACTAACGGAGATCTGCCGGATTGGATGGAGTTTGCGTCGATTTGATAAAATTGGTCAAAAATTCAAATAATTCGAACAAAATTGACTAGTAACAAAACTTTATGGTGACATTGATGAATACCTCAAAAATTTTGGGTAAAACCGCTAATTTTTCTGTTTTGTTTTTTTAATAAGTATACATTAAAAGCGGTAAATTTTAAATATTATAAGCTTATATAAACTTTAGTTTCGTCAAAATGTTTGGATCGTTTTTTTAGTGTGTATTTTTAGGTATTTTTTGTGAATATAAAAAAATATATTGAAAATGTAAAAAGGTATATTGGGATGAAAAAAACTATCTAAAAAATGAACCTAACTTTTTTTTATCGATGGATCGTTTAATCTCCACAAGTTTGTCTGAGTTGTAGCTAAACAAGCAAAATAATATGTTTTCTACTTTCTGCTAAGCATCTCCTAAATACTCTCCCCGCCTAAAAAAATAATCCATATTAAATTTTGAATTTTATATTATTTTTAGTACAAATTCGAAAACTTAATATCGACTATTTTTTTTAAACGGGGTAGAATATAGTAGCATCAACTAGCTCCCACCCCAAGTCGGGGAAAGGAAGGTAATGCCATAAACTGACACATGCATATTTGATTATTTTCTACAACATCCCTAACTCACTATCAACTTTAGTGATGAAAGCTGGTGTGATAATAAACTAAAACAGAGAGTGACTAATTAATAAATAAGTGCAACTACATGATTGGATCCAAAAGGGCACTTTCAATATCAAGACCAAAATGATAAATGCGAAATTAATATGCATTTATCCAATTCATCTAACAAAGTCCACCCCCAAAGCCATAGAGTAATGTATATATATGGAAAATTCCATGCCGACATGATCTTTGCTGAGCTCTGTGACCCAGGCAGAGTTGGCATCATGAATTCAATCCATCAAAATAAAAAATAAATAAAAAAATCCCATCTTTAATTTGTAAAAACCCAAGTGGATTCAGCCACGCCCACATGGACTGATGCCCCACATCTGCTTTAGTCCTTGCCACGTACAAGCAATTTTATTCAATTGCCCTGATCCCGTTCTCACTTTCAGACTCCTACGGTTCATCCCTGCTGTCAACATATTGATTTGGCGTTACTTGTTTTACTTTTGTCCCTGTTTTTGGCCAAATCATAACGACCTTTTTGGTGTTATTTTCTGTCGTGTATTGATTGTTTTTTATTTGATATACCCGCGAAATTATACACTTATTGAGTTGGAAACACTCGGAGAGGGAAGAAAAAGAGTGACCCTTTTGGGAGTGTTGTGAGATCATCATGGATGCTGCAGCTCTGTTGGGAGGAGAGAGTAGTGGAGGTAACTCAAGTCCCAGGTGGAGGAATGGTGGAAGAGGGAATTTTTTCCGGAGGGCTGATGCGATTGCTTATGGAGATCCTTATCAGAAAGCTGCTGCCTTGGTTGATCTTGTACGTGTAATTTCTTTTCTTCCCAATTGTTTAGTCTTTCGGTTAATTTAGGTAGAAACTTTTTACTTTGAGGTCATGTAGCGCTATTAGTGAAAATTTGGCAGAAGATTAGGTTGCATGAGTTAAATGGAATCTTTTGTTTTACTTGTTGCAGGGTATAAGAGTGTTGTTTCAGTTCTTACTTGAGACTAAAAATATGGGTTTAAGGTTATTAAAAGTTTTAAAATTATGATTTGGAATTCTTGAGCTACTAAGTGAAGGATTAGTGCAACTGGCTTTGAATGACGGTAGAAAGCTTTCTTAGAATTATGGTCTCATGATCTTAATTTAAGCTCATGCTTGGACGGTGGTTCCATCTATGGCATATTTGAGGAAACCAATGAAATTGACATTTTTTACTGGTTAGGGCAAGTAGAAATGGTTATTAACTGCTCTAACTTTAGGGATGCTTTATGGTCTAAATAAACGTGAGCAATAGACTCTCCTTCTCTATCTGTAAAGTTTGTCGTTTTTCTTATTTCTTTTCATCTTGTTTGACTGCCAATTTGGTTATGGAGCTAGCCAATGTATCAAAAATTTTGTTTATCAAGGCAAGTTTTCAATCAGCATGTTGTTGGAGGATAGATTTTACTTTGAGATGCGTTTTTAACGGGGTGGTTGATTTGGTGATCTGCCATTGTATGGAAGCATTAATATTCCATCCTAGACAGCTTTTCCAGCCTTTTCATTCCAGAGTTCTATTTTCTTACTTGGATTGAAAGGTACCATCACTAGAAGTCCATGATGGAAATTCAATACATCAGTTTCACTGATAACATACTGTTCTGGTTCGCGTTATAGGGTGTCCCAGCTTTAAGAAAGTATAGACATTTTTGCATTAAAATCTTTGAGAACTGCTCTTATTTCTTGTAATTGAATAATTTTCACTGGATGCTTATGCAGCACACATTGTTCCACATTAATTGGACTGGGTAACTGGCAAATAGAGAAACTAGTCTAGTTGTCCCTTAAATTTTTAAGATATTACCGCGCACCTTTAAGGAAATAATAGAAATTGTTTAAAGCCTTAACTTCTGTGTACTGTTATCGGTTTGAACCCTTATATCTTACTCCATGTACAGTTGTACTGTTATCTGTTTTCAAAAGTGGAATTCATTTTTCGCTTCAGGCTGAGGATGGTATTGGACTACCTGAGGAAGTGCTTGATCAATCAAACTTCGGAAATGCAGCGAAATACTACTTCATGTTCATTCGATTCGATTTTCTTTGGACCCTTAACTACTTTGCTTTGATCATTCTTAACTTCCTTGAGGTTGGTCTCTACTTAGTCTTTTCTTTAGTCATGCAGTTGGGTGCTTTTGTGCTGTTATACAGGATTTTCCATAGCCAACTCTATGCTCATTTGCTTATCCATGTTTTTGTGGCTGATTTTTGACATCTTGTCAGAAACCATTGTGGTGCTTCAAGTATTCGTCGAACTCTTGTAGTGATAGAGAGTACTTCTTCTTAGGACAGCTTCCCTACTTGACTGTTGCTGAGTCCATCAGTTATGAGGTGAGGTTGTATGGCTCTGAAGTTTTTTCTTTTTTTTACCATTAGATTACTTTTCTGTAGAAGATATTCTATACAACTATTAGAGAAGATAATGGTGTAGAATTTGTTGATTACTGTGCGTCATTATGAAATGTTCCAGTGTATCATCATCCCATATGCAACTACCACCTGCAAACCCCCAAATCCTTTTTCTTTTTTCTTCTTTTTGGGTCTCGGTGGAGATAATAATAATGTGCAATTGTCCAAAGAATTTCTCTCCAGTTTGATAATTTTCTCTAGTTATTATGCTTTTGCTTTAATTTGTACTTAACAAAATGTGATACTAGTGCTTGTGACATGTGCTTAATTAATTTGTGTGTGTACTCGAGTATTTCATCTATACTTTAGGAATTTCTGGATACATTGCTGTGGTTTGAATTATTGTTGCCAAAGCTTCCCATACTGAGGAAAATGCTCTTTATAATAATTGATGATTTTGCTTCATATTCTAATCAGTAACTTCCAGGATTTGGACTGTTGTAAGTGTTTTTCATTAGTGGACACTGGATAGATTGTCATGATGGATATTTGAGATGTAGATATGTGCCAGTAACCGTTGTTTTAAAAGCTGATAACTGATGACCTATTCTTAACTCCGTCCATCCTTGTCTCTACCTTTCTTTTCTTTGGTTTGCAGGTGGTAACACTTGTAGTTCTGATAGTGCACATTTTCTTCCCAATATCGTATGAAGGATTCAATATTTACTGGAAAAGTCAGCTTAACCGACTGAAGGTATGTAATCTCAGTTCTACAGTAAATATTTTTGTCTCGTTCCTGATTCTCTTTTGCTTTTAGACTGGATAGATTTCTTTAATTTCCATGGAAATATGATAGATGATGTTGAGAAACTTCCTCGGTAGCTACCTTTTAGTTAACCTTCCTGATGGTTACGAATTATGATCTTTGAGTTTAGGGTTGTCATTAAAGTATCAGTTTGTCCAAATTAGAATGTGGGATATAATTCTGAAATGCGTACTATAAACTCAAAGCATTACCAGTCAGTTGAGGATGAACAAAAAGCTGGCATAGAGATAGTTATCTGCTTGATGGATGTCATGCAGCAGTGTGAGATAGTTATCTGCATAGAGATGCTACCTTTATCTGCTTGATGGATGTCATGCAACAGTGTGATACTATCAGAGTCAGCATCACTCAGACATATCAGTACCATGATGCTTAACCGCAATTATTTAACAGTGCATCTTGGTTTATTTGAACAGATTTCTTTCTTTCTTTTTTTTTTCTAACTTGAGCTAGATACGATAAATATTTCCCAAAACACTGACCAACCACATCGATAGAGGTGTGTGGAGCATGCTGAAGTCATATTTGTGCATCTTTTTAGTTGTTGATTAATCTTTCTCACTTTCTAGATGTTACACATCCTTGGGGGATCCCAAATTCTAATTGATGGAAGTCAAGCAGGATTTTGATAATTTGTTGCCATAATTGTTCTGACAAAGAATAGATAGAGCAAGTGCCTTTAGTTTAAATTATTTGAATAGTCAATGGTACAATAACTCATAGATTTTAGTTACTTAATAATAAAAAAGTTGTACGTGTTTCAGTAATGATCCTTTTTTTCTTTTTCCCCATTTTTTCCTTGTTGATTTCTCAGGTGCTTTTGTTGCTAATATTGGTTGCTGATTTATTGGTCTTTGGTCTTTATCTCTCTCCTGTGGCCTTCAACTATCTCCCATTCAGACTTGCACCCTATATTCGAGTTGTCTTTTTCATCTTGAGCATTAGGTATGGTTTTTTTTTCACCTCTTTTGTTTTTGTTGCATCGCCTCTGTAGTGCTTTCCTTTGGAAAACGTAGAAAACTTCTTGTTTCTCTTAAAAAATTTTTAACATTACTTAGAACTTTAATTGCTCCCTTTACTAAGAATTTAGGACGCTCTTGAAGCAAATGATGCACAAGATTGCAAATCCCGGAGAAAAAGACAAAAACAATCGACATTTTTTTTCCATCTTGTGAGAAAATGTTAACTGATTTCTGGTTATCTGCACTAAAATGGATGGTTACATAAAACATAGAGCTAAGATGAATGGGTTTAGATGCTTCGGTGTTACAGGACATGCCATCTTCCTTAATGACTTTTGTATGTGATATCTGGAAATGTCGTTCTTTTTTTGTGTCCCATTCTGACTGTCGTCCGGTTCATTGGTCTCTCTCTCTCTCTCTCTCTCTCTTATTATTATTATTTTTATTTTTTTTTCTAATGTAGCGTAATTCAGCGTTTGAGTTTTCTAATAATTAATTTCTGTCATTTAGTTTGATAGGCTATTTCTTCCCTGATTTATTATTCATTTTTCTTTTCTACATCAGGGATCTTTGCAACAGTATTGTTATATTGGCTGGAATGCTTGGAACATACCTTAATGTCCTGGTGTGCCCTCAATCCCATGAATGAATTTAAGCAACTGCTTTTTTACTTTTTGAAAGTTTATCTAGTCTATTTCGTGCCTCTAGAGGTTACTAGTAGGATCTTTTTTTTGGGGTTTTCGAACTGAAATTCCTGTTATCCAAGTTGTCTTTTTATCTTACTCTCTTTTTGCAAACTTTCTTTCTCCAGGCTTTGTGGCTTTTGTTTCTTCTATTCTCTAGCTGGTTGGCATATGTCATCTTTGAAGATACAGTGCAGGGGAAGACCTTATTTTCCTCCTATGGAAAAACATTGTATCAAATGTTTGTTTTGTTTACTACATCGAACAATCCAGATGTTTGGATTCCTGCTTACAAGTGAGTTGCTTTAGAATCTAAGCGTTGCTCGGTCCTTTGCTGTGAATGAACTCTCTTTGTCGTTTTTTTTTTCAAATTTTATTTTAGTTTATCTCTCTCGGGATGTTCTCTGCAGAAAAGTTTTTAATGTATGCTGAACCTGTGAATGGAACTTCATCATCTTCATCTTATGTGTTCAAATTAAATTAAATGTGAATCTGGAAATGTGTGGAGTTAATGTGGAGGATAGACTTGTTATCATGTGCAAGTTTTTTTTATCGGAACTTCTTGCACAAATCTGTTCCTAAGAGGTTTTTGCATGTTTCTCATGTTTTATCTTACTCTAGTGAGACTTCCACCATCTTTCTTTTTCTTTCAGGGCTTCCCGGTGGTATTGCCTCTTTTTTGTTCTCTATGTGCTTTTGGGTGTTTACTTTGTTACCAATTTGATCCTTGCCGTTGTCTACGATAGCTTCAAAAGTGAGGTATGAACTTGGATCAGGCACTTTTCCCTTTCTGTTTTCCTGAACGTTTTTGTTGCGCTCATGTCTTATCCTTCTTAAGTTTGGTATCATGACCTCTCTTTCAACCTTAAAATTTCGTCCTTCACAAAAATCTGACTGAAATTGCATGGAACTTGTAAAATTATATCTTCCAAGATTATTATTAATTATCGAGTAAAGATTAAACAAATAAATAAGATTTTTATTGAGGGGCCTCATCGTATTTGGTTATATTCCTTTCCTGCTTTTCCCTTTGTCCTTTTATACCCTTCATTTTTCGTTGTTTTTGTCCCTGACTCTGATATATATTCCTGAGCTATCACCTCTAGGTATGGTTATCAATCTTATGCATCTTCTTTCCCCTCTAAATTAATCTCGCAGCTGGTTAAGCAAGTTTCAGGGAAGGATCAGTTGAGGGCAAGAATACTGCAGAAAGCATTTAACCTGGCAGATACCCATGTGAGTACAAGTTATTGCTCCATGTCTTATATGCTTTCTGTTCATCTGCTGTGGTTTTCTTTTTGTAATTCATTGTTATTGTTCTTCCATCCATGTCATTTAACATGAAAAAATTAAATAGTCAAATACTGTGGATCTTGGTTTGATTTAGTTTAGTGAAGTTATCCTTTTGCAGTGGGTTGGCCAAGGAGGTCTAATCCTTTTGAAAAAGAAGGATGAAGGAGTAGGGATAGAGGTTTATTGACACCAGAGATTATTCAAAATCACGGCCAGAAAACCAAATTATCTCCTTTAACTAAATTATTCCTTTTATATCTAAACTTTATTAGACTTTAAAACCTATTTTACCTATTTTACCTATTGAGCGGTTATAATCTTTAATCATTATATTAGCACACTAGAAATCTTACATAAATTAAATTATTGTATTGTAGAAAACTTTTAAAACTGTGCTTAGGAAATTTTACTTTTCCTGTAGCTAAGTTATTAATGTTGAGATGGATGCATGGGCTAACTAGATTAGATAGGCCAGTAATGAAACCGTAAGAAATAAAATGACACAACCCTATAGATGACACAGTTTAGATGGTTTGGACATGTGTGCAAACATCCCTTCGATGTTAAAGAATGTTTTCACGGAACACAATGGTGACATCAAATCCTCATAAGCTCGTCCCAACAAGTGGGATATGGGCATAGTTGCTTCTTTGTGAAGTTGGCAATAGGGATAGGTATATAGGGGGTTGGGATTAAATTTGGTAATAAAGTAAGAAGTTAGAAAAATGAAAGAGAAATACCAAATTCCAATGTTCATTTGATCTTAATAGTTTACATCTATTGTGAAATATTATTACTCAAAAAAATTGTAAAATACCAATGACAAATTGACAATGTAATGTGGAGCGGAAACTGTCTTTCACATTAGATACTCGCCAAAGGTACAAGAACTGTTTCATTAGAAAATATCAAATTATCAACAACATATCCCATATATTTCCAGCCAAGTCGGGTTCTAGGAGTTCTGATGTACGCAGCCTTGCCCTTGTAATTATACAAAGAGGCTATTTCATTGCAACCCAAGATACATTGCGTCATTTGAAGTATTGATTTCCAGCAACTTCACTAATAGAAGATGCACTGGAATTTAATTGAGACATTTTGATTTAGTCCGTTATTAGGATAAAGCTAAATAAATTGTCAACAATGACTCTTCTAGCTCGATTTGCAATGGACAATACAAAATATCAAATTATGTCTTGAACAAATTATCTCAAAAAAATTTCTTGAATTAATTAACTTCATTAAGCGATTACAAGAAAAGTTTACTTAGCTTCCACTTGCCCTGTCCGCTTTCTTTTGTCACTGTTACTGTACAAAAGTCTTGACTCTTGTGTATGCAGGATCTTGGATTTCTTAACAAGGACCAGTGTGTCAAATTATTTGAAGAACTGAACAAATACAGGTACTTTTTTCTTGGTGTCCTCTATATGTATAATATCAGGGTTGTGTTCGGTAGAATGTGCATTGGCTGGTTACGCTTATGTAAGGAATACTTGGAACTGAATATTTGTAGGTGGCAAGTGGTGATTGTTAGATATGTCTCCATAGTTTAAGGGATTCTAGACGGGACATAACCTCTAGCTGTCAAGAATCTATATTTGCATTAAGGTTCTCTTTTTTTCTTTTATTTTGACTATTTAGATGGAAGTAAAGAATATGTGGTACTTTGGTATCCATCTTTACTCCAAGGCACCTGTTTATTGTGCAATAGAACTACCTTTAAAATGAGTTGTAGATTAGAGATGATCTTTGCTACTCGTCCATTTGGTTTTATCTTTGAGTTTGTTTCTAGGATCAATTTATCTCTTACTCAAACTTAAGCCATAATCTAGGAATGTAGGTGTATCTGCTTAGTGATATGATGAAATCTACTTCTTAAACTAACTGTTGGATCTTGCATTTGTTTTGTTTTTGATGTTTCAGAACATTGCCACAAATATCTAGAGAAGACTTTGAACTAATTTTTGATGAGCTGGACGATACTCATGACTTCAAGGTATTTGACCAGTTTCTTGAGTTTGTATCTAATTTTTTTAAGAAATGTTTCTTTGCCGTGTCTTCAATTTTCTATCTCTATTTTTCTTGAGAATTAGACTGTCTATTTCTAATATTACTACTTTATTAATTAGGCTAAACCTGTACAGTATTGTTTTCTGAGCCTTGTATGAGATTACTGATTTTACAGTTGTCAACTTTTCAACTAGTTTTGATTTTTCGTACTTCAATTGTTGCATATGGATTTATGCGGGAGACTATGTTAGGAACAACATTTTGGAGTGTTACAGTTTTCATGGCTCTGCATATAGCAATCTTTCTTAGAAGTGATTTAAGTCCTTTGAAAAGTGATGGGATGTTGGTGATTATACTAGGCACTCTTTAACTTTTTTCTGCCTGCAGATAAATTTGGAAGAATTTTCTGATCTCTGCAATGCTATAGCACTGAGATTTCAAAAGGAGCCATCGGTGAGTATAATTCTTTCGGTAAAAGCTGTTGTGGTGTCTTTTACTACTACTTGGAGACTTTGACTCCCTTCCACTCCCTGTTTCTCCTCACAGGTACCTTACTTTGAAAATTGCCCATCGATCTACCATTCAGTGATCTCTGAAAAGCTGAAGGAGTTTGTTAAAAGCGCTACATTTGGCTATGTCATAGCATTCATTCTTCTGATGAATCTTGTTGCTGTCATTATTGAAACAACGGTAAAATTCAAAGATAAATTCTTAGAGTTATAGTTAGGAGAAAGGGATGGTGTGCTTAATTTATTTAGTCATTGCCAATGTACCATTGTTGAAGAGATCCTTTTCCTCATTCATAATCATGCATCACATGCCGCACTTGGCATATGTCAAGGCTAGCAGGTAAACAACCTTGAAATATAATTTGAACTAGAACTACCACGGGTACCCTGGCTGAGTTTAGTTACTACTAAACCTGATACTGATAGTTGGAGAATGCACTAATACTTATATATTTCCCATCTTTATCTAACAAATTGAATGGAGGTTCTGTCCTATTTGTAAATACTTGTTCTAGGCCACCTGTCCTATAGATGATTGTACTTTGTAGATATGCAGATGTGACTTTTTACCACACAGTTCATTCCTTCTGCTGCCTGCTGTTTAAAAAAAGTTTTATCATTTACCACACACCAGTAACTTATCAGTCTTAGGTTGGGAACTTTGTTATCATTGCTTTTGCAATTTACCCATGGCATCCAACTATTTGATTTCAGCTTGATATAGAGAACAATTCTGCTCAGGAGGCTTGGCAGAAGGTTGAATTTGTCTTTGGTAAGCCATTTGTAGTTCACATATTCATTGCCGGCATACACTTAAGCATGCTATGTGGCGGAGCATCTTAGGAGGATTTGAAATCCAACCTTTTTAAACTTATGTCCATTTGCCCTTTCCTGAATATTATTTTTCTCTGTTTCACCTCTTTCGTGACGTAGTTTCAGCTGATATAAGACTGCTCATAATGGCTTTTGCAATTACTGTAAAACTGTATCAGTGTATAATAAGTCCTTTCTAAAAGGTCAAGTTTAGGGTATTTAGTACTGACGAAGTTGCATTTGATTTTGCAGGATGGATTTATGTCCTGGAGATGCTGCTGAAAATCTATGCATATGGTCCTGAAAACTATTGGAGAGATGGCCAAAATCGCTTTGACTGTATTGTCACTTTGGTTATAGGTAGGTAATTTAAAACTCTTTTATCAATCCCAATCTAAGCCCTTCTGTTGTATTTTTAACATTTCAGGCAACTATTTCAATAATGCTACTGTGAACATTTAGAACAATTGTGCTGTCACCCTGGCCTCGCTTCGTGTTATATAAGGTTTTGTGAGGTGTAGCCGTGTTGAAGCCTTGAAATTTTGTTTCTTCTTTCTGGACTAAATGTACATGGTTATATCAATCATGATTTCCAGCCAAAGAATAACAAAGTGGGATCATGCCAGTTCTGTTTTCAGAAACTCTGATGAATTATTCTTTGTAGCTATTGTATAATCATTATTTGTATAGCTTGAAAGTAAAACATAAAAGACCAAAATATAAAGGACTAGGAGTGAAGCAAGAAGCTAAACTCTTTAAACTTTTGTCTTAGTGGTACTGTCGCGTCTACTGACTGAAACTGACGCAGCACCAAACGTGGTGGTTAAGAAAATCAGAACTTAGGCTGATTAAAGAGTATTATGCAGCGGAAAACTAAAAGAATCTGTAGGGGAAAAGCTTAGGAATCGAAGGAACACTGAGGAAAGCAGTAGGAAAAGAGAAGAAAACCTAAGAATCACTCTTAGGGCCTTTGGCACGTCACACCGCAGGATTCCTAGGCGTCACGCCAAGGGTTTAGTTGAATCACACAGCTGTTGCAAAAGCAAAGCTTACTGCAGGAATTTTTATTAATCATAATCTCAAAATTCTCCTCATACGAGGTACATATAAATAGGCCGAAAACTTAACCTAAACCAAAGACAACTAGGATTCATACCTAATTTTCCTTTTTATTCTAGAAAATCCTGCAGCATAGCTAATATACTAAAGTACCCTTGCCTAAAAATTATTACTGAAAATAATAACCTAATTAAATTGCTGCTTAATGAAGGATTAACTCAATCAAAGTCCTAACACTTTGGTTCCTTCCTTGGATCATGATGATCCTACGCATAAGAATGGAAGAACCTACTGTTAGAGTTCTTCTACCCTTCCTGGTCCGCATCAGAAACTTTATGATACTTTATTCTTTTTTTCTTTTTTCTTGGTTTTACTCTTTTGTGATACTTTATTACAATGCTTTACTTCTTCTTTCTATTCAAGCCTCAAATCTATAGTATCTTACTTGATCTGTATTGGACCTCCCCAGGTTGGTTTGGCTTCATGCTTGTATGTCTGTCCACTTTGTTTGAATCTAACATGTTAGCTCTTACTGTTCTCCATGCGAAATCATATGGTGTTATGCTTTCGACGTGGTTTGTATCAGATAGGAAGAACGAATTGATAGCTTCAGAGTTTGGTTGAAACTTAAACTGTTGCTGATTATATCAGAAACTAAGAAACTTTCTTTTGATCTCTAATATGGTATACTGTAATATGTTTTGCAGTTATAGGAGAGACAACAACATTTGTGGCTCCAAATGGGCTGACTTTTCTATCAAATGGGGAGTGGTAAGAATGTTTTACTTCCCTGAACCCTCATGCAGCAGTAAAGTTTGTGGAAACGTTATTCTCATAGCAATTGGTTAACTCTAGATATCCGGTCCTTTTCATGATTCATTAACATCTGTAACTTTACTTTATTAACTGATGTCTTAAAGACAACTACTAGCCATTATCCAGTTATGTAAGGTTGAGTATTAACAATCACTTCTTGTCATAATATTCTGTGAGGTAAATTTCTTATCCTTAAGTAGGAACAAAACCTCTGCCAACATCTTTCTGGATTAAACATGTGGATACTAACGTACATTATTACCTTGTGGGAAACCAGTAACAGAGCATTCAATCCCTTATCTAGGGATCCAAATAGTTAATATTATATTCATCCTTCACCATCTTAAATGTATTGAACCTGCACCAAAATCCTTTCAACAAATTATCTTTCTAGCCATTGGAGAATTCTTGAACTACTATTGATTGGTCAGAATTGCCACGCTAGAGGCACAACATACTTTCAACAGATCTGCAAGGTGAGGGGTTCAATATATGCATTTTGGATCTTTAGAACTAACTTGTAGTTCATAACAAATTTCCCATAACCAACTCATCATTTCCCAATATTTTGCGGCACTTTAGGCATCTTTTCGCAGCTGTAGCCACTCTAACTGAATGTTTTGTGACCGAAATGCCATATGGGAGCAGATATACTTTCCTTCTTAGTTTTCAATCGCATTTATAGGAGTATGGAAAATTTCTCATTAGCCAAAAAATGCTAGTTTGCTCTCGTCTTCTATATGGTATGTTACTTGGATTTTGTTCAATTTTTTAACCCTCTGTGTGGATCCAATATCTGGTACAGGATCCGATATCTTCTCATTGCAAGAATGTTAAGGTTAATAAGGCTCCTGATGCATGTTCGACAATATCGAGCTTTCGTTGCTACCTTTTTGACCCTGATACCAAGTTTGATGCCGTACCTAGGGACCATATTCTGTGTGATGTGTATTTACTGCTCCATTGGTGTACAGGTATATGTCCTTTTCCGACTCTGCTAAAAAGTACATTATGTATGTTGGTTACTTAGCATTATTTTCAATATTTGTGACTAACCTGTCTACTACTGAATATTTTGATCTTTACAAGGAATCTATTGCTGTTGTATTTAACCTTTATTTCTTATTAATTTTCTGGTAATAGTTGCCACTTTTTCCTTTCTACAGGTATTTGGTGGGACTGTCTATGCTGGAAACCCCAAGTTGGAGGGCACTGAACTTTATGAGGATGAGTATCCACTAATGTTTTCACAATTGTGTTTATCTATATGCTTGCATTTGTGAATGTGACTTTTCTGTATGTGACATTGTGCATGTGTGTTTGGCTCAGACTAAGAGTACATATCTCCAATGAAGTTTTATTCCAATGCAGATATATATGTGCAAATCAACTCTTTTATATGATTTTTCTTGACGGCATCAGCTATTTACTTTTCAATTTCAACGATTACGCCAATGGAATGGTTACACTTTTCAATTTACTGGTCATGGGGAACTGGCAAGTGTGGATGCAGGTACTATGAGTTATCATTGATCATGTTATGCTAAACAAACACGTGTTTGCGATATGCTGGTGGCAAATCGCTGCTTAGTCATCGTATTTATATTTTATTTGTTGATAGCACATAGAAAAGAGTTTTTGGTGGTTGGCATACCTGGCCTATAGTTGGAAATTTTCTTCCAGCAAAGTTGTCAGTTCTGTTACTGAATCATCAAATACTACAAATAGTAAAATACAGGATCTTAGCAAATGAAATTTTCATCATTTTTTTTGCTGGCATGCTATGCCAGGCTTTTTTTTTTCTTCAGTGACAAGTGACTATAATTGGGAAACTATAGAAATCTTGTTAGTTTATTAATTTTCAATATTTTAGAGTGTATATGAAAGTTTTCACCTTTCTTCTGTACTTAAACACCATATCAGAGGAAGGGCTTTGTTTTCGCATTTTCCCTTTCTGTTGACAGAGAATGAAACCCGTCCGTTGCTATTCCATCCCCAAAATCTAGTGAAATGCGAAAATGTGAATGAAAGAAGTCTTTCTATTTTCGGGACACTGTAAATATGGATTCTTAAAAGTTTTTGTATTCCTTTGGTCTCTCCAGATCATTAAACACACTTCTTAAAGTTGTCGTCATGCAGAGTATAGATTGCCTGATTTAGATCAAATTACAACAAATGCTTCTTCTTTATGTTTGTCTGTTTGCAATATCCCGAATTTCTAGAGTTATCTCGTTTTGTGTGAGCAAGATTCCAAAATCACATATTTTCAGACATGGGTATGTGATGGATTTCCTAAAGCGCAAAATGACAAATGATGCACGCAACTCATCCTTATTCAAGCAAATAAAAGATTTCATAATTTTTGTGATTTACGGCCAAAGTTGTTGCTGATTCTATTTCATTGCAACATTTTTTTTTCTCATATACAACTTGTATACTTGCAGAGCTATGTGGATTTGACTGGAACATCCTGGACTTATGCTTACTTTGTCAGCTTCTATCTTATTTCAATTTTGCTGCTTTTGAATTTGGTAAGCTTTCATTCCTATGTAAATTCTGTTCACGTGCATTTCCTGTTTCTTAATTCAAAGTTTATATGCTTGCTCATAGTTTCATAACAGTTTAATTTGTCTTTCTTTTAAAGAAAAAATCATAAATAACTTCCTCGCAGTGGACTCACTGTTTGAGAATCAAAAGACACGTCATGGTTACGGGGTGCAAGCACTTAAGAGAGCTTAGAGCTTGTATTTTTTTGCTTAGACAGCTATAGCTTTTTCCAGATATCAATGCTTCCAAAGCAAATGTCAACTTCCCATTCTCTTTGATTTCTTGTGTTTGGAGAAGAGCAATCAATATTTGTTGCTTGATTCAAATTGTCCTATCTTTCATATGGTGTTTTCCTTTTCCAAAGATGTTAGCTCTTTGTTTGTATGCCCAAGTGAAAAACTAAGAAATAATGTTCTTTCTTCACATCAGGTTGTGGCTTTTGTATTGGAGGCATTCTTTGCTGAGATGGAGCTCGAAGAGTCAGAGAAGTCCGAGAACATAGAGAGCAAGGTTAACATACCTGTCTCATATTATCATATGATTTGCTTTTTTTTGAAGCACTAATCATTTATTGCTAAGATGAGTTTTAGTTTGTTTGAAATTCTTCATAAAACCCCTATTTATGATGCATTGTCATTTAGTTTTAGATTTTACTGAAGTTCTGATCTTGTGGTACTTTCTTGTGGCACCATCATATAATTCAGAGCGAAGACGGGAATAGTCGCAGGCGCAATGTTGGGTGTGTCTCTGCGCTCTTAATTTTTAATTGTCTTTTCAGATCTGGTCACACAGTTTCAATTGAATTGCTTAATTTCATTCTGCAGCATGAAAACACGGAGTCAGAGAGTAGATATGCTTCTCCACCACATGCTAAGTTCTGAGCTGGAAAAACCACAACCTTCAACGGAATCAACCGCCTAAGCAATCTTGATGCTCATCCATCCTGGTATGAAAATGTAAATTGTAGTTTCCAAGTGTTACTGGTGATACAAGCTCCTCCTTCAATTAGTTAATATTGCGGATGACCTCAATATAGGCTGCAAAAACGTTTTAGCCATTTGTGAATACTTTACCATCTGTACTTTCTTGCCAGCACCCTGAGTGTCGTCAATAAAAAATTTTCTTTTAATTAATTCCTTTTTGTGTCATCTTACACCTTCAGGATCTTCCAAAAATACATAGGAGGTGGATAGTTTTATCGTTAGCTGAAGCTTATTTTTGCGAAGAGCCATGTAAAGAAGGGTTTCCTTCTGCTTGCTGAGAAGAGAGCCTGTTGTAGCAGCTTATCATATCTTTGAGAAGAGAGCCACCTTATCATATCTTCTGTGTTTTTGCGTCAGTTTCTCAAGTTTTCTCATTTTTATAGCAGCTTTTTTTTTTGTGAGGGTGTAAGATCCGAGGGGTTGGTTATTGAGCTGTTTTATATTGTACTCCCTCCGGTCCTTATTATAAAGCATTTTGACTTTTTCTAAGTTTTTCCTTGTACGTATTTTTTATTGTCAAAAGAACCTTAAAAAGAAGGATTTTTTTGTCAATTAAAAATGTGTTCTAGATGAAACCTAGGACAAATCAAAATGGCTTATATTAAAGACCGAAGGGAGTGAGTATTATCTGTAGTTTCAACTTTTGTATAGAGGTGTTGAAACAGGGATCAGTGGATGGGTGAAAGTAAAATTGTCAATGTAGAACAGAAGCAGCATCATTAGAGTGAATGTTCTCAGTTGTCCAGTGTATAGAGAGATGTTACTTTGACATTTCAGGTCATGGGTTTTCTTTTACTTTCTGTCCAATTCTTATCATGCAGATGCCATGATAAGTGCATGAACATAATACTTCATGCATACTTTACGCCAGAATCACCAGAAACCACGAGAACACCATACATTATGGCCTCACTAGTTAAATATCCAACGTTTGAGTTATGGTCTGTTCAGTGGAAGTAACAGCAACATACTATTAGAATTGACGTAAAAGAATGTAAAAGTTATGTAGAAAAGAATGTACAACCATCCTTCTTCTAAACTACATATCTTTTCAGAAGATGTACTCCCTCTGTTCCATAATTATTGTTCAGTTTAGGTTTTTATTTTTAGTTCAAATTGTACTAAAAGTGAAATCTCAAACTCGACAGTAATTTTGGGACAGAGGGAGTAAAGAATGTAAACTTCTTATTGTTTTGTTGCTGTGGTTAGACAGCGGAACAAACCAAAGTTGCCACGAATGACCTAATGAAAAAAGTTAAACTAAAAAAAAAAAAGCCTAATATATACACTTTGAAGGATGGATTAGGTTTAAGAGAGATTGCATATTTGCTAAGAAAGTGATTTGAAATCCCAACCTCTTTAACATGAGCTATATATATACTCTTCCGCTCTAAAATTATTGTTTCAGTTTGAATTTTTATTTTTTATTCAATTACTAAAACTGAAAATCCAAACTGAACTGACAATAATTTTAGGCAGAGTATATAATTGGCCATAAACTTTCAAAGAGCAGTGATGGCAATTTTAGCAGCAATCTTGAGAATGCTGCGAGCTCGGTACAAGCCGGCCAGAGCGATCCCCCATTTAGACCACTTGTGAAACGTCTTCCCGGCGGCGTAAATGTGCATCACCTTCTCCACCTTACTTTCCCCTGCCATCGCTTTGGTTATGGCTTTCTGAAGCTTCCCTGGCGCCAAATACCTGCCTTTTGGATCCATAACCACGCATCGCGCCATGAAATTCGCAATCCCGTCTACCACGTCTCCCTCGCTGACAATTACATAATCCTCTGTTCCAATTTCATCATCATCCTCCACGGAAGAAACAGGGAGTTGATGTCCACACTCGCCGGAATCCTTCAATTCTTTTTGAATATCAGGCGGGCAAGATTCCAGGAGTTTGGGCTTTTGTTCTTCCAATAAAATCCTGAGGCGACAATTCTCTGCCCGCAGGGATTCCAATTCCTTGTCGTCCTTGGTCTTCTCCGCCGCCGGCGCCGCCGGCGCCGCCGTTGTATGGTGGCGGTGGTGGAGGTTATGGTGGCGGCATCCCTCAACGGCCGTCCATGTAAAGTCGGCGACTTCCAACGCGGTCTTCGCCACCTCCAACGGAGCGGCGCCCACCATCGAAATCGAAGAAAGAAATCAGAGTTCCCGTACGAATTGATGGTTTCAAGGGTTCTTTTGGTTTGATGATTGATGACGATGAATAATATTACGGCCAATTATATGGAAGATTGCGAAATCCTATTGCGATTCAAACTCCTTTATTTTCTTTTTCCCTTCGAAAACTGAAAACCATTTTGGCGGTTTTGCCGCGAAGAGACATTTTAAGGAAAGCAAACGGAAGCTTCTACTTTTCACTCACTCATAATAATAAAGGAAAACCAACAAACATAAAAAAATAAATCGGTCCTTTGATTTTTATATTGTGTAGTAATAACGATTCTCATCCCTTGGTTAATTAATAGATAATTTAGAGAGTGATTATAAATTAGTACCTATGTCCCAAAAAAATTATCCACATTGAGTTTTCAAATTTAAACTAAAAACAGTACAAAACTAAAAACTCTATGTAGACTATTTTCGTGAGACGGATGGAGTATTATAATGTATAAAATATTGTGCTTGTTTAGACGTCAGTTTCATTTTCATTTTCGACTTGAATATAAAAGTGTTTTAAGTGGAAAACATAATGGGAGATGAAAAAGTTGTTTGAATGGTATCTTTAGCAAAAAGTTTTTCTCTATTCAAATATGGGGTATGAAAAATATCACTAAACAATCGAAAAGTGTCAATTTTAGTCACTATAAAAAAAAGAGTTTAAAAATGATCACTAAACAATGGATAAAAAATGTGCAAAGTTTTGGATTTAGTCACTAAACTAATTTTTAGTTCCAAAAATTAGTCACTACACTAACAAAATGTTGCAAGTTTAATTTTAAAATGTAAATCAGAAATTTGTTTGAACGGTTGTTTGTTTTGCATTGAGTTTTGTGTTTAATAAGTAAAATGAGTTGAAAATGCAAAATGAGTTGACGGGAGGACAAGCACAACATTTTGAAGAAATTAAAACCCGGACATTTGTGGATAAATCTATCATTTTTTTCCCAAATGTACTTTGTGCAAGTCCGCAGAATTTCCAGTATCGATTTTAATGAATGTTGATCGACTTGAATCCTAATTGTATCAATTTGTATGCCGTTAATTGTAGTTGTACAGTTTCAGACTTGAATAACTGCGTTAAACGTATGAATATCTTGATCAGTATGTCAAAGCATGATTCAGCAATCTCTATTCCATTAATTCTCTTATGTAGTTGTGATTCTGTGAAATTATATATAGTCGTGGTTCTATAAATTAAGTGTAATGATAGAGCTAACGAGAAAAATATATTGATATCTCAGAGTGACTGATGTGGATATTGCAATTAAGGATAAAAATGTTACTTTTGAAGGTAGAGAAAAAAAATTTTATGGCAAAGTGGCTACAAAATCTTTTTTTACGATTTTTTCATTAAAAAAATTTTTTGATACACTTCAGTCACTATTTTTTCACTACGTATTTTACTATGCTTATTATTTTCTATAAATTAATAATTCATAAACTAATATCCTTTACTAAATAATAATTTTTTGTAAGACACAGATTGGGGCCAACACCAAAAATGAAAAAAAAATTTATTTAGTTAATGAGATAATAATTTTTCAAGAATCCCTATGTCAATATAAGTCCTCACAATTTCATAACCTAATATATACCTAAAAATAAAAGGGAAAATTCTCTTTTAAGGGTGGTGTAGAAATTGAAATTCCTAAAAAGTGAGTATATGTTTCATAATTTCCAATGAGGGCGTAAAATTATATGTGGCATGTTATTTAATTGGAAGGACTCTTATGTCCTCATCATCTTCCTCCCCCTGTTGAAACAAGGTCCAAGAAACCTCACAGAACCTCCATGGTCGCTTGCACTTTAACACATAACCATCCAACTTGGAAGAAGTAATCAATATATAAATCCCCGATTCAACCCTCATAATCAATTTCAGTTCTTTACCACGACACTGGTTCTTAAATTAATTTACGCAAATTTATTTTAGTATTACTCAAAATATTGGCAAACTCAATGAAAAGACGCAAATACATTCTATAGTTAATATTTCGTAGCCGTAAATAATAGACTTTGATATCTATAAAATGTTTGAGTTCACAATTTTCATTGTCAAAATTTTTCTAAAGTAATTGCAAGCACGGAAATGATTTTTTATGATTTTTGTAGAAAATAAACAATGAATTTATAGAAAATAGCATCTTAAAATTGCAGGAATTGAATATGAGACTATGGCAATGAATGGAGCAAATTTGGATATGTGCACAAACACATATATGGGATTTGGAGAAAAATTTTTAGATTTGGAGCTTTTGTTTTCATGGTTTTTTTCCAGCACAGCATTCTTTTTGAGCTGTGCTGGAAAATGCTCAATATCGATTTTCATTTATAATGCTCAAATACGAAATGATTTTGAGCTGTGCTGGAAAATGCTCAAATACGAGTCGTTTTCGGGTTATAAGCTAAACGGATTGTTTTTAAGCCTTTTGACCTTTTTGGCCTATTTTTTCTTTTATTTTTTTTTCCAAAGCCCAGCGGTCAGCGTGGCTTTTTCCTTTTTTTTTGTTCTTTCAAATTAAAAAAAATGATTTTTTTAAGTTTTTTCTTTTTTCAGCGGCAGACACAAAGCGCTGTTGTTTTCTTTTTTTCTCCCTTTTTTCCCAGTGTGTTTTTTCTTTCACATTTCTTTGTACTTTTAAATAAAAAATTTAATTTTAAAGAAAAAATAAAAATTAAATTAGTGAAAATAAAAATATTTCTAATATATATGTGCATAATAAATTTATCTTTTATATATAATATATGCAATAAGTAATAATTTACTTTGATATAACAAATTAAGTATTTCTTTTTCTCTTTTTTCTTTTTCTTTTTTTTTCTTCAAATTTTATTTTCTTAATTTAAATAATGAAGTAGAAAGGATATAGAACATATTGATAGTTATTAAAGCATCAAAATTTCTCTCTTTAACTCAATATAATATTTTTTTGCAAAAAGTTTATCAAAATATTTCCATACAAAAAATGTATTGAAAAATATTGATAAGTAATTGCATTTGCTTTGATCAAAGAATTTTTTTGATTAGATGACAGTAAATGATTAAAATTTTTTATGTTTGTTTTCAAACAAGTTTGTTCATATTTATTACATACATTTGTGCACACTAATACTTTCTTGGTCTCAAAATGATTGTTTAGTTTAGATTTTTTATTATAAATAAAAATTCAAATCAGACAATTATTTTAGGAATTTGAAAATATAATTTTTCGAAGTCCTAAAAGTTAAAAATAAATTGAGAAAAAAAAATAGGTTGGACCCAGGACTTAATTGTTTGTTGAGTGAGAATTTTACTTTCATATTAATAGATTTATGTAATAAAAAATGAAATTTAACGTATATCTATATATAAAAGAATACTAACATACATAAACTGATCTTTATATTAAATATTAATTTTTCATTAAAAGACACTAAAAAATTCCAAAGATTAGAAATTAAAAATGTTAAAATCTAATAAACGGGAGAGAAACAAGAACGTTTTACTTGTTATTTGTTGTGTATTGAGTGGGAATATAAATTATCATATCAATAAGAAACTAAAGTTATTTTTTTTTATTTTTTGAAATGAATTAAATTGATTAGTTAAATAATAAGAAACTAATTACAATTCTAAAATATCTAAAATTTTATGCATCCAAACGCAAAAATTGGTATTAGAACCTTAATTCTAGCTAATTATCAAGATCTCCCAAACAAAAGAATTAAGATTGAATTATAATCTTAATATCTCATTTTCAATTCAATAGTATTGTAATTCAAATTCAATTACAATTCAATCCAACCAAACAGAGCCGTATTTATTTTCTATGGATTTAAAATATTGAGAAAAAACCCTAGGCAAAAAAACGGCATCGTGTGCAGCCTTTTTCCTCAAAATATAAATAGGAACGACGTCCTTATGAGGAAAACCCAAAATTTCTCAGAAATTTCTCATTGTTCCAAAATTTATCGTCGCATGCAACCTTCTTCCCTGCCGCTCCAAAATTTCTCACCGTTCCTCTACCCCTCCGCCGATCTTCCGACTATCTTTTTTGGCAATATAGAACCTTAAATCAACATCTATTTCATAAAAACCAGACGAAGATAAAGATGTAATGTAGCAAATATGTCGTCGTTGAGAAGATGAAGATGGAGAATGGTCTTGAAAATCAAGTTCGAGAAGTCGATGATTAGGGTTGAGAAGATTCTACTGCTGCTTCTGGCATCTTGCGCTCTCACTCCCCTTATTGGTATTTTGAGGTTTGTACTTGTGAAGAATAAATTATGGATCTGTAACTAATGCTTGTTAGAAGTTTGATTGTGAAATTCTAAATTTGTTTTTGAGTTTGGATTTTCATCAAGAGCAGGGCTATGGATCCAAGAAAGACGATGGGCGGTTTTGCCCTCTCCATGTAGTGGTGAAGTAGAAAACTGAAATTCCTAGAAATTGTCGTAATGGATATCACTAGCCAATTAATAGTTAAAACATCGGTTAAAATTATGATTTTGGAGTTATGTTTTCATTATAAATGGATTAACTTGTTCTTTTTTTTGTTTTTTTGGTTGAATGTTATAGAGTCTCTTGAGGATTTCAACTTTATGAATCCCATTCACTTATGGAGTCTATGGTTTTGCAATTAGTTATCCCTTGGTGGGAGTCTGAAGAAAATGCAAGATCGATGCATTCAGAGGTATCCCGGATTGTACTGATGTGATGATAGAAGCAAGCTTGTATGGCTGAACTCGGTGTCTTTTACACAATAAAGAACCCGGCTTTAACCAGGTGAGGATTATTTCAGATTATATCTCAATTCTGGTGCAGTTGATTTTTGGTTCCGTTTTAGCTTTAAATTTATGTTACAAAAGGAGAGAAGGAATCCATTTTACTAAGGCAAAAAGATCAAAACAATAGAGCTCAGTAGCTAAAGAGAGAGTGACTCAGAAACGGTTTTTTCTGTGTTTCTATTTTCATTCGGTAGTGTTTTGATCTCTGAGCTTTTGTGAGAACGATAATGACCGAGCAGTTGACTGAGGAGCAGATCACTGAATTCAAGGAAGCTTTCAGCCTCTTCGATAAGGACGACAATGGTAATTCTTCTTTTTGATCCATATCCAAAAAAATTTGTTTAATTTCAATCTGTTCGAATGGTTTTGTTCCTGAAATTTTTTGCTGCTTAGAGTTTTACTTTTGGTAAGGGGATCTGTTCGTTGTCTATAATTTTGATTCATTTTTCACTTTCTCTGTGTAATTTTTTGCACGATTTTAGTTTATTTGGTTAGTTTCTCGAAGATCAGTTGTTTTTCTCACTTTGTTTTCACTTTTTATTTCGAATTTTGTGGTAATACGAAAGTAAGTTTGAGCTTTTGTCGTATGGATTTGGGTGTTTTTGATGACGGCTCCACCTCCCTTTACTTTATTCTTGTGGAAATTTGCGTGAGAGGAATTGAATCCCTTGTTTTGATGTAGTGGAAAGTTGGATTGTTGTTTTGGCATTTTTGCGTTGCACACGATTTTCTCAAATACTTTTGTTGGTTCTGTTTTATGTAATATACTTTTGTTGGCATTTTTGCTTTGCACACGATTTTCTCAAATAATTTTACGTAATATAGTACTTAGCAGAGATTTTATGATATTGAATCTGTGATCTGATTTTCTTTTGGCTTTATTTCGTTCTCGGTTGCTTGGTTATCGAAAGTTTTGTTCTTATCTTTTTATATATGCTCCACTAGGATGTGTGGAGGAAAAGGATTATTTTAAATATTATAAACCCTAAGTTGCTATATTAACTTGAAGAAGATATAGTCATGTCGTTTGACCATGATGGAAGTTCTGTAGAAAGCAAGTGGTGGGGTGATAATGCTACTGAACTTGGTTTCTTTACTGAAATATCTGGGGCTTTTTGCTGAATCAATAATGATTTGGGGTTTGGGTACTACTTTGATAAAAGAGAGTTTTGATCTTTCTTCATGACTAATATTTACTGTGCTTTATCACATGACTCCTAATTTTTCATTTGTTTTCTCATTGTCATTTGAATTGTCAGTGAGGTTATTTACTTACATATAGATAAGATACCCTTTGGTTTATCCAGTCAGTATATCGTCCCTAACATGCAGCTATCATTGTTCTTTCTAAATTAAGGTTGCATTGCCTTGGTTGAATTTGGCTTCACTATGCCATGGATACTGGAAGACTTGCTGAAATTCAACAAGAAATACAAACCACGGAAACTGAAAAGCTCCAACAGCAGCTTTCGCTTGGTCTGTTTTAGGAGCATCCACCAGTTCTCGATCCTGAGGTTGTATGAAGAGTGATGCAAAGAATATGGGACCACATCCGAGCTCTTGACGACCAGAAGGAGGCCCTCCTTCACGAACAACAATTTCTCCTTGTGGAGGTGGCTATAAGAAACCGCAGTAGAAATAGAAACAACGGGAGAACTAGAAATTAATAGCTTCCACCACCAAAGAACTGGGAATCGTGATGAGATCACTGGGCCAGAATCCCATTGAATAAACCAGACTAAATTTGGAGCCCCAAGAAGTGATTGAGCCAGTGATAGAGGAGGATTGGAAACGCATGAAATTGAGAATTTGGTAAAATCTCTTCGTATCATGAACCATAAAACTTCATAATCCTTCTTCCCAATAGAATGATAGTGGAAAAAAATATCGTTCCTACCTAAAGTTTTGCCCTCATCGTTAATTATACCCAATAGGTTTTTGATTAGCCAATTTTACTCTAATATTTAAAATTTTTGCCAATTTCGTTTATTTGGCTCATTTTCCGTCTAAATTAACGGATCTCCGTTAGTTTTTTAATAAAATAATAAATTTAATTACAAAAATACCCCAGTAATTTTTAAAAATTTTAAAAATAACCCCTAAAATATATAAAAATAACAAAACAGTTTATTTTTACTTTTTTATTTTATTTTTCTCTATCTTGTTCCATTTCTCTTTACTACTTTTAATGACCATAAACGTCTATTATATGAGTTTTAAAAAAAATATTTCTTTATTTTAAAACTCTATTGTAAAAATTAATCTTTTTATAATTGTAACCCATAATTGTATTTATATAAGTATGTTAATTTTTTAATAATATAGTTTAGCAATAAAGACACTATTTTTCTGATTTATTTTATTCTTCCTAACATAAAGATTAAAAATATTTAAATGAAACTAATATTCCACATAAAAATAAAATATTAGCTCAAATAAAATATTAACGGTTGATAGTTCTCGTGAGATGTTTTAGGCAAGGAGAATTCATACTAATTTTTTTTTAAAAAAAATAAATTAGATCATCTTCTTGCTATTGCATAAAGGTTTCTTGTCTGATTAGAGCTTTCTTTCTCCTTCTTCATTTGCTTATTTTTAACCCAATAAATTGTATTGATATATACTATATGTCGGATTACATACATGATATGCTAGCCAAACTATATAAAAACAACATCACCATGACATGATTTTTTGTTGGTGACTTTTACATTCCTTTATTTAGCATCAAAGTTCACTCTTTAAAAATCAATATAACAATTACTTATTTTTAAAAAAAAAAACCCACCGCAGTGAACTCCACTTAAATGTAGGTAAAATTTCCCTTTACAAAAACTCCTTGATGGGAATTGAACCCGATCTAAGACCAGGAAAAATAATATCATAACCAATAGGCTGTTATTCAATTCCCCAATATAACAATTACTTAATGCACTACAATTTTATATTAGATCATTTAAAGGAAAAAATACACAGTGTCAATTTTATATTTTAATTATTTGTTTAATTATATCGGTTTACCGAGAAGTTGCAATTATAATGAAAACTTTAACCAAATGAAGAATAAAAAAATTCATAAAAAATAACAAAGTAAAAGAATTCACATACACACATGGCGCGACAGGTAAAAGACTAATATTAATTTAAAGGGGTTTAGCTTTACGTTGATAATGTTTATAGAGGTTTAACTGTACTTAGATCATTTCATCTCTGTTATTTACTCAACTGATTCATCTCTGGCATTTTCTCTGGTGATCATGTAATACTTTTGTTAACCGATGATCATGTAATACTTTTGCAATACTAAATTTTAGTATTGCAATACTTTTGTTAACTGATCATCAGTTAACTAAATTAACTGATGATCATGTAATACTTTTGCAATACTTAGTTTCCCCAAAATTTTAGTTTGGTCTAGGTAATAGAAATTGCTAATCACTTCATTCAGTCAAAATAAGCTTTTTCCCAAAAGTGTAGACCATTTTATTGAAAGAAAGTAATCGCAATTTCTATACTTCCCACAAATGGTCGGAAAATCGAAGCTAAGTACTGAACTAGAGAAGTGATCGAAAAGTATAAAAAAAAATAAAAAAAAAAGCATTATAATTATTCTAAAAGGTAATTAATATAAACAAGGAGTGCTTCCATAGGTTTATTATTCTAATTACGAAGGAACTAACAGCACCAACGATCCCATTACGTCTGGCTTTGTAGGTTAACATCTTTGCTGCAAAGTAAGCATCAACTCCAAGTCGCAAAGGACGCGAACATTCTTAAACTATCTCTGTGCCAATGAAAAAACAGTCACTGCGCACAGCGGAACTTTTCACAATCCCTCGCACCATACCTAGTAAAGTTAGAAATCAGTCCGTTCACCATTTTGGCGACATCCGCTTTGAAGGTCGGTGATGGTGTCATCTTTTTAAATATTTTGCCGTCCAGTGGTTTTCCTTTCACCAGTGAACCTACTTGAGCACCTTCCATATAAGCTTTGCAGGATTCCAGAATGTCATATGCATGGACACGAAAATGACCAGCTACCAGGTCTTCAAAATGCTGGGGGGCAAAAGGAAAACAAATCAGGCTAACAATCAAAAAGTGAGGACCTTAACATTGAGATATGATCACTACTACATTAAGGCTTCTGATATCATCAGATTGTAACACAATAACAGCCAAACTAAACAGTGGAAAAATAAACAATTTCCAACTTGAAAGCAAGATACACGATACAAAATCACTATATACTTCAACTGGGCATCCAAATTGCCTTTTTATGTGCTTCACAAAGACACAACATCATATGACGAAACGACAGTGTATTATCCACTTTGCAGTCATGGTCATAGAAAACCAGAAAACATACCCAAAACGGTGTAATGATAGGACACTATGTTACTATTTCACCTTGCAATAAAGCTTAAAAAAGGACAATTTCTATAAGTACTGCAACCAAAATTAGTGTCTATGCGTACAAATTAAAAGGCAAAATAACATGTTCATGTCCATGACAATCTCCACACAAGTAAGAACCAAAAATGGGTAGGGCATTCCATTTACCGACCATCAACCTATAAAAATAGAAACAATTGGCTATGTGTGGAATTAAAGCATACCTTGGGAGGCCTCCTCAGGGTATACATCATTGTTTTCAATGACATTATGAATACATTCTCACTGTATTCATTACATCTCCTCTCTCCTTCAGGGCCAGTATACCGTTCATAACCAGGCTCATTATAGAATGGGGTTGCATTAAGGATTAAAGCTTGTATCGACACCAGCACTTGCAGCATAGTCGAGTTCCCCGGCAACCATTTCTCACTTCCTTCACCGTTCCATGTGTTAAGAAGGCTCAGACAAACTTTTCCACTTTCATACAAGTTAGGGTTGATTCTCAAGCCACCAGAGTAGTAGTGTACAATCTAGACAAGAAAAAAGAGGCAGACATATGTAACCACCAAAATCATAGGAACATAAAAAAGTACGGGATTATAAGGTCTAAGATGTAAAAAGAACAAAGGGTAACATATCAGAGCACATACTGGAGGTATTTCTGGATACTTTGGAGGAAAGTAGATATCAAAGACAAAAAGGCCATCATGGTATGGAGTGCCCTGTGGCCCTACAATTACGGCCCTCATAAGATCCATCCTTGCTTCATAAGCTCTTACAAAAATTGTGTCTGGCAAAGACAGAGAAAGAGAGAGGGGGGTTATCCGAAATATACGATAGGCACCACGTAAGGTGATAAACTAAATCCATAAATGTGTAAACACAGCAACTCCTAGATGATAACAAAATTAAGGTTCATCATCAGCAATGGGACCACACTCAAGAAATTATAGTAATGAGTAAATCGAAAATAAATTTGATTTAAATAAAAAAAGAATGCAGGTAATTATCAAGTTCCAATGAATCCAGCTTCTACGCAGGCTAAGAATATTCTTACCATTCACAAAAAAATAAAATAAAATAAAATAAAAACCTATGATATGCTTCCATGAATTTCAGAAAATCTAAAAAGCCATGAAAGTACACTAAAATACATTAATAGAACTCAGCTCATGCTTCTTCTCAGTTGTAAGACTTGCATGTCATTTATTCATCAATAATCATTCGAGGTTTTGAGGTAAATCAAAAAATTCACAGAGAGGGATAAAGAGGAGCATGCTTTTGTCCACTTACCAGGTAAATCCTTTTCTAAAATTCTCCACTCATCCTGGACTTTCTTTGTCCAAGCTTTTGCTGGCTAAAAATATAAGAGACATCAAAGCCGTTGGCGGGTTAATACAAACATATAAGCAGATTCATGAATTCTCAGAAGCAGATTGCATTGAAAACTGACCTGTCCAACAACCTCCGCGTTCTTGTTGTAGATATGGTCAGAATAATCTTCAACAATATCAAAGGCTTTAAAAGCTTTGTACTTCTTTAAAATTTCATCTTCACTTTCATCTTTCTCATGTGATCTTGATTCCACATTTGCCAGTGAACTACTTGAAGAAGCAATTTCAAACTTTTCTTTGGAGGGATGTGGATTTACAGGAGCAGAGGTCCCACCATCTGCAGAAGATGTCGTAACATTAACTTGTGCAGCCACATTCGAAGTAGTGCTACTGGAACTCACGGCAGATGGCTGAAGCCAAGAAAATGAGGCCTCGACTCCAGGAGGCAAATCCACATTGTCAAATTGGGCTTGCATTTTCAAATAATCAAAATCATCATCACCAGAATTATCAGACATGCACTCATCATCATCATCAATGTCATCACCATAATCAGTGTCCTCAATATCATCATCCATTGCATCCTCTCCATCATTTCCATCATCATGGTATGACAAGTCTGAAGTAGAACTATTTACCATGTCACCAACAGATCCAGAAGTTGAGCCCCCAACACTACCCAAATCCACACTATCTTCCGATGCAACTTCCTGCAGGAAACATAGAATATTCTTTTCAGAAATAAATTCCAAAGGGAACCACTTTCATCCACCATCCATCATGAGGCCATCATGAAGGTGAGGTACAATGAACACAAGATTGCAAGTAGAAGACTTGGAGAATAGCGCCAAAAAAAGGGGCAAGGTTTTATAATGTAACAGGACAAGTAACAGAAGCCATCTGGAAAAGAAAATCATTTAAAAAAAAAAAAGAAAGTAAAGAAGAGGAAAAGAAGACTTATCAATTTTTTCCACATGTCTAGTATCTTCGCAATCACAATTGATAACACTCATTGGCAAGTCACTAACTTAGCTTTCATGATAGTGTGGCTCATTTTTTTGCAACACGAGAATTTTCTCCTCTTTCTGTCAGGATCCAAAACACAAACTGTTCCTAAATTTGTACGCCATGAACTCAATTTCGGATAAAAGATTAACAATTTACACTGCCAACAATCTAAAAACTTGGTCCTCTAGATTCATCCCATCTCTCCACCCCCTCAACCAAGCTGTTTTTCATCATTTAATAACCCTTCACTTGAAATTTTTTTACTTTATATGAAAAAGTGCAGCAAAATCTCGTTCCCCACCAGAAAGATTAGGCAACAGCACAATTCCTTAATATGACAATTGTTCTTCCAAATACAATAGAAAACATACCTACAACTAATGCTACAAATTCATCCTCATGCACTGATATTCAAAAGAAAAACGATTTAACAAAAATCCTTCAAAAATAAAAAGTTAAAAGGAAAACCCCAGAAGATAAGTTCCCAAAGATCGCCCCCAAGTCATGATACGCACTGATCATCAAACCAAAACGACCGGAAAAACTCCCAACACCCAAATTCAACACAATCTCCAAACGAATATCACTACCGAATAATAAAAGCTAGCCAAAAAAAAAGGGGGATTAAAAGCAAGATTAGGATTTTTCTTGCCTTATCCTTATTTAGTTTCTTAGCGATGTTATTAATCGGGTCTTGTTGTGTTTCGACCTCCATTCTTGAGAGAATTCAGCGCCTCCCCCCAATTAATTAATGCGAAAGAAGGGATTTTGATCAAACACCCTCTCCCGCCTACGCCGGGACTGATTGGAGCTTCGATCAATGCTGGGTTGATAAGAAGAAACTGAATATAGAAAGACTGGAAAGCGGTATCGTGATTACATAGGCCACTCTTGACTCTGTTCCCTGTTTTGTGTAGGACTCCTTTTTATAGGCTCGATTTTTTAGAGAGAAGAAAGTAGAGTTCAGTTACTCTTTGGTGGGTCCCTCGTATTTTTGTTTTTTTTTTTGGTCATTTGTATTTTTAGACTTTACGATTTTAGTCCCTCTATTTTCTATGAGCAAGCTTTCCATCTTACAGATTATTTGGTTGGTATAAATATTGTGGTTTTTAGTAACCTCTGTTTTGTTCGTACGATTACTTATTTTCGTTATAAATTGATTGAGGAACCATCTCTTTTAAAAGTCATTAACGTGGGACAAGTCCAAGGCCTACACACGATAATTGGAATTAAATAAGTGTGAATAGAAGCTCCCCATGAACATATTTTAATAAGATCATAATTTTATTTTTTATTTATTTATTTTTTTGTAACACTGGAACCTCATCAGAGATGGATAAACGTATGCCCACTTCAGTAGCTTACAAACCACAGTAGGAGGTAAATCACCCTAGGTAAGTTTGGGTGTGGGAGGTAAACCACCTTGTGTAAGCTCGGGGTGCGAAATCGGGGGTTCATGAGTGCGTTTGCCATAACAAGTCCTCTAGATGTCCCAATAGGTAAGGTTAGAGCTACCTCTCATTCTTGTTAGCGTGGGAGTTTGAACTCATGACCTACTCTTGAGAGCAAAGGTGATTTTATCGCTGAACCAATACCCCATTCATAATTTGCAAATCTTACTATATATTAAGGGAATTTTTTTCACAAGACACATGTCGCACTATTAGATCACTAATAATTTTTAAAAACACGTGTTCAATTTCCATTCGTTCAGAAACTTTAGTAGTCTAAGTGTCAGCATTTTATTGGCTTATTACTTTTTACTAAAACTATACCTCTTAACTGTAATCTTGCATAGTAAAACATTTATGATATTTTAACAAATATCATCTGTTTTACCTTTTCACCGATAATTCGCAATTTTATCATTCAAATAACCAGTGAAATAACTCTGGCCGACTAACCTGAGGTGATGGCAGGATTTAGCACGCGAAGTTAATGTAATCATCAGAAATAGTTGCCGTCGAAATCATCATTGGATATACACAACTTATATCCACACAAAAAAATCCTCTCTGTTGATTGATTATTTTAAATGGACTATACACATGCTTCGCCGGAATCATTGGAACACGATTTTCAATTTATCACGGACGAGATCACCGTTGATTAGAAACTCCATTGAAGGGAAATAGTTGGCGGACGAGGTCACCGGCTGACAATGATCAATTCATTCGTTCAATTGCTGGTTGTATTCTTCTTTGCTATAGACTTCCCACATCCCTTCCTACCATTTTGCTAAATTATGTGTGTAATTCTCAAAAACCTAAATGATTATGCATCATTTCTTCAAACATTCATCTTATCATGAACGAACTGCGTCCACCATGCATAATTTTAGGAATTTTCAAATTTCAGAACCGGATAATATGGTACCAATTTAATTCAAATTTCATTTAGAAGATTTTTCTGGATTGTATTTGAGGAATATATATTTGGGGAATATATATTCGTGTAATTATACCCATAATTAGCATATGAAACTACCTTTATCTTAGTTAATTAATTGACGCGAATTCTGTAATTGATCTACAATTTAAATTTGAAGTATTTCAACTAGCGTATGAAACTACCATCCGCATGTTATTTATATATTTTTTATATATTTATATATATTACTGATCATATAGAAGAGATAATAAGATATTAAATTAGACTTATAATTACCGTATGAAACTACCTTCATCTTAATTAAATAATTAAATAATTGCCAAAATTGTGTAATTGATATACAATTCAAATTTGAAGTATTTCAAATATAGTATGAAACTACCTTCTGAATGTAGTCCAAATTTACATTTATGATTCACTTAAATAACTATCGTTCTACTTATCCTTTTCATTAGAGATCATATAGGATAGATAAGATACTAACTGAGAATCAAAATTTAAATCCGTGTAATTAACTAATTGATATACTCCCCATATTTAAACTGATTTTAAATTTAGTTTTGCGCCTCAAAACATTATAAACCCTAATACGTCCTTTACGCTAAATCTCCTTCTATATAAACCGTACGCTTAGTTTCCCCAACACCTCCTCACCTATTCATGCTAATACACACTCTTATAGGAGATCATTAAAATTTATTCTTTTCCTCTCCCTCTTTTGTTCTCTTACAATGGCTCAGGCTAGGAGGATAAATTCCGTCAAAGAATTGAACGGAAGTACCGGATGTGGATGGCTGATTAACGTCAAGTTGTGCAAGTTGTGGGATCACCATCTTTTTAAAAATTGGAACAGAGTTGAGAGCCTGAAATGCTTCTTATGGATTCAAATGTAAGCTCCTATACTTTGTTGTCACCGTTAATTAATATTGAGATACATACATGTTTTTGTTTGAGAAATAAAAATAAATAGATTTTTTTCGCAATTTTTTTCTTAACTCAGGGTGACAGAATTATTGTCGGGTCCATCGTGACCACTTCATCGTTTCAACAAAAAGCTCATTGAAGGTACTTCTTTACTGATCTTTAACTTCGGATGTGCAAAAAACGGAGAGAGATTCAAGCAGTGCAAGCATGTTTTCCGGATTAAATTTGATGAGCGTACGACAATCGAACCAGGCTCGTATGTTGACACTACCAATTTTGGAGGAATCCATGGCTTTGATTTTGTCAGTTTCGCCTATATCAATGCCACAAAAGATTTATCCAAATTAGTAGTATGCATTTTTTTTGTATTATTAAATAAATGATGAAGTTTTTTTCCATGAATGTATCAAAGTGATAAAATATATGTGGATTTAATCGGTTTTGTTTATTGGTTGTTTATTTTTAAAGACATAATAGGGCAGATCAAAACAATGAGTGGTCTGACAATGAAAATGGCAAGAGGTCGAAATCAACATCATATGAAATTGCACATTATGAATGAAAGGTAAGGAAAATTTACACTACTGATTTTTCCATGTTCTATATCAATTTCAACTCACAATAATTAGTTACGTTAAATGTTGCAGTGATGAAATTCTGAAGTGCACCCTATGGGGTGATCATGCATTAAAGATCCAAAATCACATCAATGCAACTGGATCAATACGAGTCATTGTAATTATCAGCAATGCAATGATTAATGCATATCAGGGTATTTACCTAATTAGACATTGTTTTTCGTTTATTATTTTATGATTTTTTTATTATGTATTCAAACAAATATTTTTTTTTACAACAGATACTAGAAGAATTCAGAATTCCTTATAGAGTACTAATGTTTATCTAAATGAAGAGTTGCTAGAAATTGTCGACTTCAGGCAAAGGTACACTGTAATCGTACAACGTACTTTCTTTTCTTCATATCTCAAAGTTTATTAACAGTTCCATTTATATGTATGTATTGTTTGTAAATAGAATCACTTGTACTGCTGGATTTGATGAAAATGCGAAGATTGATGTGCTTCAGCCTCACCCAAAATCAGGAACAATTGATGATGTCATTACATGGCATAAAATCACCATTGAAGAGTTGTCGACTATAACTACAGTAAGTGCGGATTTAATTATATAATTATTTTGTTACACACAGGTTTAATTTGTATAAATTCTCTTTTTTTTTTAGCCAAGGTCAAACTATGCACTTATTGCCACTATTGAGGCTCTTGATCCGGATTTTGGATGGTATTATATTGGTTGCCGCAAATGTCACAAATTTGTAAAGGAAGAGGCTGTTCCAATTGATGTGGTAGAAATTGAAGGCAAAACATCGTCTAAGAAGTCGAGGTCACAAATTCCTTCAAAGACAGTGTTTCGTTGTGAGACCGAAGGCTGTCCTAAACCAATAACCACAGCAAGTCCGAGGTACATACAAATTCAAAAATGAATGTTTAAATATTTATATTAATTTTCTATTACGAGAATACCCATATTTATTTCCTCTTATGATTTTTTTATATTCAAATGTTTCTTAGATACAAAATGAGACTTGATGTTGAAGATGGGACATCGGGATCTTGCACTTTTGTGATGTTTGATGATTGTATTCGTCTTCTAATGAATAAATCATGCGAACAAATCAGAGAAACTATTCCACCGGTTTGTATTGATAAACTCAGAATTATTTAAATTTGTTATGTTAAGAATTGCACTAATAAATTTTTCAATTATTTTCCTATTATTGCCTTATTTAGGGTACCCCCAACAATCAAATACCGGAGGAACTTTACCAACTTGTGGGGAGGCTCATATTCAAATTTGAGGCGACTGATTATGTCATAGAAACGGGGTCGACGGTTTACAAATGCACAAAAATTATTGAGGATCCCATACTTATTAAAAAATTTGAGAATGTTGTTTGTCCTGTAGAGGTTTGCCCTAAATTTGTAGATGTATATACTCCATATAAAACATGTATTTACTATTTTTACTATATTTCAGTTAGTTAATTTTTTAATGGTATTATTGAAAACTTAGATTGAAGATGATAACAGTATCACCAATCTAGATACATCTGATGTGACTATTTCGCAGTATGTTTCCTCAAACATCCCCAAGGTTTATGCAATTTCAGATATCTCAATCATTTTATGATACGTGTGTAGTTTGACTTACATTAATCCAATAAACAGGTGACTGGTTCAAGCTCTGTTGGAACTGGATATGATCAAGACGATGAACCTATCACTCCTGTTAGTTCTATTCAAAAGCGGAAAGTTGTTGAGATTGACGTCGACGATCAAGAACATCAGGCTTCAACTAATAAAAAGCATGTCTAATCTGTTGATTTCAATGCTTTTATTCACTTCTTTGGGGATAATTCTTAAAGATTTTAAATAATCAAATTATTATCTTTTTCTTTGATGGTTTTTTATTTCATACTTTTTTTGTTCCGTCTTTATGTACGGACTATTTTTCGTGTAATAAAATATTTATCCATTCTCTCTATATAGAGGTTAAACATCATAATTTATTCAATTCAATCTAAATATTTAAATATTAATTGTAATAAAATATTACAATTGTTATAATAGTCTTCTCGATTATTCCGAAATAAATTAAAGCTAAACATACTCAAATCATCCCATATACGTCAGAAATAAAATTTTTTTATCGTCATCATTATAAGCATGTAAGGAATTGTTATATTCTTCGTTTTCCTATTAGTAAGATTCACGTACTGTCACATAATGTATAAAAATATTACAATGATTAATAGGTCATCATAATAGCAGAATCAAATCAAAACAAAATCAAAAAATTGTCGATTGTGCATAATTTAAATTGTCTTCTAATTCCTTTGTAAACAGCCAAAAATTCAGGTACTTACTTAAATAGTTGAAAAACAATTATAATCGTACTAAAAGTATTTTTTATCATGCTAAACAACTAAATTAAGAAGTAACTGTATATTACTTTTAATTATCACACACATGTTACGTTGAGTTCTGTAATATTCACTGACTATATATTACTTCAAACAAATGACCAAATCAAAAAAAAATGCCTCTTAAAAAAAAATATTAATAGATAAAAACACATCATTACGTTGACTACTTTTTTGGTAGTGTGTTTGCATTCTATTAAAATTCTGATACTGCACATCATCTACAACACGCAAAATATCATTTCCGTAATTAAATAGACTTATCAACACCATAAATTTTGACTGCCCAATAATAAATCCATCCACTTATTTCCTTTAAACTAATATATATATATATATATATATATCAATAATTCTCCCTACTCCATTCTCACTTTTTTCCAGATTTCAAACAAAGGTGTTTAGATCTTTCTTTCTTTTCTCTCTTTCTTTTCTCCTCCATTCTGCCTGTCATAATCCCTTGCATGCGTTTTGAAGAAAAATAACCAAGGGGAGTAATATGTGTTCTTTCTCAAGATCAGGTAATATAAAATTTGCGTTTTTCTTTCTTTGTTTTTTTTTTTTTTTTTGGCATCTACTTTATTGATCTTCCTTACAAATACATTTTGTTGTAAGTAGATTACTTCTGTACAAATATAATATACATTACTATGGATTTTGCACATTAATCAGTTTATCATCTACTGTTAATTTTCAATCTTTAAATATAGAATATATATACAATTTGTAAGCTATTATGTTACCCTTTTTATTCGTATAAATATAATTTTAATGATTGTTGCTCTGCTTTTTTTTTTCATATAACAAGATCTTAATAAAAAAAAATATGCCGTACCACTTGGGGTTCTTATACACCGTTCCAAAAGACTACGAATTGCTTGGTTTTGTAAGACCCTTTGTCAAATTAATGTATCAGTTTGTGCATATTGTTTTTTAGTTGTTATGTCAAAATTTAAATATCCCAATTTTATTCTTCTTTTTTTTTTTGCATTTTAGCTTCTCACGTCTAAGTTGCGCGATTGCTTCAGCGGATATGTCCCCAAAAAAATTAAACTGGTTACTCCAGTAGGCAAATTTGAAGTATTAACTTCCGAAGCTGCAAATGGTGAGATTGTTATGTTTGGGAATAACCTCTTAAAATTTGCAAATGAAGTTCAAATCGGTCCATGGTGTCGGGTTCATTTTTATTATAATGGAACTGATAACATCATATGCATGCCTTTTGGATATGATGGGACTCAATCTGTTCCGTACAAGCCATACACTCCTTTTGGAGTTCAATGCATATTCAAATTGAAACCTCATACTGCTGATTACTTCACTGTAAGTGTTTCCATTCCGCCATCATTTTTTTACATAAAAATTAAATTATATCGCATGAATTTAATTTGACATCAGTAGATAGTTAGTACCAGTTATGTATATATTTATTTTTTTGTCTAGGTTGTGCCTGCTGAATTCATCAATGTACTTACAATGCCTAATACATCGGTTGTGACTGTTGAATTTGGAGAAGAAGAATATAATTTTGAATGGTTTACCAATGAGCATGGTTCTGGTTTCAGTGGTGTCATGTGGCTTATTTTTATAATTGGTCATCATTTCACTTTGAAGAATACATTTCTGCTTGCCTATAAGTACGAGACCACGTTTGTGCTGGATGTTTTTTATGAAAATAACTTTGATGTCTATGCTCCTGGCCGTCCATGGAATTCGTCCTCATCTTCTTAATAGAGTAAGTACTTAAATTAATGACAAGCCGTCGTCACACTAGTCAAATAATAATTACCTACTTAATACAATTACTAGTAGTAAAGCAGAAAGTAGGGTCGATCCCACAGAGAAGGAATACTAATTACCAGGTATAAATTAATCCTATTATTATCTAGATAAATGATGATCTCAGATTTATAAAATTTTAAACTAAACTAAATAAAAATAAAAACAAATAATATTAATTCAAATAATCAAACAAAGAAAACCTAGGACATTGAGTTCACCTACCGAATATTTAGTTTGATTCAATTCATAACTATCTGACTTTTAACTTCAATTAATCTCACAACGATTCACCTAATTAAGAACTATACACTCTCGTGTTATAATTCTCTTACTTATATTAACCCTATGACTACTCTCATGACTATAGGGATTAACAAAAGCACATTAAGACCATTAAGAATCAAATATTGCAAAGGTTATAATCTTACTCTCGTAGCTTACAACCTAAGTTTATTATTCCTACGAATTAATACTAATCTTCCACTCTCGCTACTTCGATTAATATCTTCAGACATGCAAATAGTGGCCAATTACTTACACGAATTAAATCAAGAATAACAAATATTAATTAATAGAAAAATTAAATAGTAATGAACCAAATAAACCAAATAAATTCGGTGGTTACACCCAAGCCCTAGATTAAAATATTTTAGCTACTAAACATTATTAAAAATAATTCAATAATATTTAGAGATATAATAAAAATAAATAAATTAAATAATTAAACTTTAAAACCCGAACGAAGCCAAAAAACCGCCAAAACTCTCTGGATTTGCTGCTCGCTTCACCGATGATCAATGGTGCTGTCGGCTGCGTGTGCGTGAAGGAGAAGAAGCTGGAGTTGTGTGGAGGGTGCTGATGCTGCCGGTGAAGAGGTGAAGGTGGTGTTGCGGCTGGTGGTAGAGATGGTGGCTGCGCAAAGGTGAAGGAGGAGGGAGTTTGGCGGTGATGGAGGTGGACGATTATGATGCTGTCGGCTGGTGCGTGAGCAGCAAGGTGTTGCGGCGTGACCAAGAAGGCAGAGGAAGGTGCATCAGCGGTGATGGTGATGATGCTGCCGGTGAAGGAGGAGGGAGTTTGGTGGTGGTCGGCGGCGGTGAAGAAGGAAACAAGAAGGTGGCGGTGAAAGTGATTTGCAGCCGTAAGGTTTTCGGCCAGTTTTCGGTTCAGTTCTGTTGTAAAAATAAATCCCTAATCTTCCTTTTATAGGCTTCCGACTAAACCCTACTTCTTGAAGAACAAGAAAACTTGTTTCCCAAATAATATCGGGATTAAAATTCTTATCCAATTCCAATCCCAAATCGGCCGCACATTCATCGTAACCTTCGGCCAATTTCCAAAAACTAAATTAAACATTCCAAAATTGCATCATTGGCCCTCCAATTCTCTAAACTCATTAATTTCTTCCCCATCAATTGCTCCAATCTTCAATTCTTTCCCATTGAGTTGCTTTTAATTTGATTTTAGCTCAAAACTTCAACAATTCTTCATTTGAGTACAATTCTTACAATTAAAGATAAAATCACATAAATAGCATATTTGTACTCAAATATATTGCAAAAATCATAAATTAGGGATATAATAAATAGGTAAAATATAAGCATACCAAATACCCCCAAACTTGAATTATTGCTTGTCCTCAAGCAATCCCAAAAAAAAAATTAAAACAAACAAAAGCATTAAATTATTTAATTAGGCAGCCTCAGAGATTCAATCACATCATATAACACAAAGACTTCAACTACCTCTAGTATGGACTACCTAACAAATGCAACTCATAGTTACTTTTAGCCCCCACGCTTGTGTATGTGCTTCGTTTCTTAGGGACATCACTTTATATTCAACATAGAAAACAAAAGCTCTACTGCAAATATGCCATTTTACTTTAACAACAGACTCACATTTCATATCATATTTCAATGCAATGGACCGTCAATCATGCTATGAAGTAGAAGGACTTATCTCACAAACAACCTATTCCCCCTCGTAACCCATTCTTTGGTCCATGTGGCTTTTCTTCAGGACTCTTTCCAACTCAGGCCACTACCCAGAGCATTTTTCCACTCCTATACATAGTGGCTCAGCAACTTAGGGCAGTCTACATCTATTTTTCCTCACCGGGCCTGAGGACTCTCCGCTCAGGTTGCCAATTCCTCACCTCTCAAGGGGCTAGCATCAACATTGAATGCTCTTCCTTTCTCCCTCATTAAAATTTACCTAACCTCAGAAGCATCCGCCAACACCCCTCCCCCAAACTTACTTAACACAAAGTGTCAAAGCAATAAGGTTTTTTAAGGCTGATATTGGGTTAATGCCTTGCTTTTCCTTCACAACATGATGGGTTCCACTTACAAATCATATAAGTATGAGTGAATCAAACACAACTTTCATGGCATATCTACATCAAACTTATGCAACTATATCTCACTTTAGGCTTATCCCACAATCACGACTAAGTGCAAAAGAAACAGGGTATTCAAAGCAACATAGAAATGCATAAGTTAAGCAATACAATTCAAAATAGCCTAATTCTTACATGTTATAGATAATCAAACCAACTTAATCATAGGCCTTTTTGGATTTTTCAATTTTTCAATTTTTATGGGTTTTTTATTAAGAAAGATAAACACAAAACACAAATATTCCTCTCCCTCACACTTAAAGTATACATTGCCCTCAATGTATAAAACACAAAAGAAAAACAACCAAGTGTAAAGAAAAGAAAAGACAAAAACAACAAAAATGAAAAGAAACGACACAACCTTGGGAATGTGAAGCGGAGGACCGGAATTGTTGAATAAATTGTTGCAACTGCCATGCAAGCACACGACCAACTTCTTCAGACTTTTGGATGTTTCATTTTCAGCATCACTGGACACCAGAGTTTTGCTCGTCCAACAAACCTAAATGCAACACTAAAGTAAATTAGAAAAACAAACCTAAAAACAGATGATTAAGAAAAACCACGAAAATCCAGAAATCAAAGATCTCCAGATAATCAGGAACAAAAAACTTAACCATCAACTTATTAATGAAAGAAAAAGAAAAATAAAGCAAAATAAAGAATTGGGTTGCCTCCCAATAAGAGCTTCTTTAAAGTCATGAGGCGGACTTTTATGGCTAATCAATCAGGTGGACGCTCAATCAAAGAGTATGAAACTCTTTCATACATCATTCTTCTTTCGTCTCCAACTGCACCTACATCACTGATACACTTGTCAGGAGGGTCATTAAAATTAGCAATAAACACATCATTTTTATCTGGCTCCTTAACAGAATCTACTCTAAACACATGATGAGTAAATGCAGGGCATTTGTAATTTTCAGAAAAAGTGAACTCCACAGATTCTTCTCCAATATGAAATTTTAAACTCCCCTTTTTAACATCTATAACAGCACCAGCTGTGGCTAGAAATCGTCGACCTAAACTAGTTGGCACATTAGCATCTTCTTCCATATCTAACACAACAAAATCAACAGGGATATAAAATTTCTTCACTTTTACCAGCACATTTTCCAAAATTCCTTTCGGATGAGTTATAGATCTATCAGCTAACTGCAAAGTGATGTTAGTTGGTTTCAAATGTTTCAACCCTAGCTTTCTACAAACAGATAAAGGTATCAATGAAACACTAGCACCTAAATCACATAAAACTTTATCAAAACAGACATCACCCATAGAGATAGGAATAGAGAAACTCCCTCGATCACTCAATTTTGGAGGCAACTTTCTCTGAATGACAGCACTACACTCCTCAGATAGTGCAATTGTCTCAAAGTCTTTCACTTTTCTTTGGTTGGAGATGGTCTCCTTCAAGAACTTCCCATAAGCCGGAATCTGAGCTAAAGCATCTGCAAAAAGAATGTTAATATGTAATTGCCTAAAAATTTTCAGAAATTTCTCAAACAACCTATCTTGCTTGGTCATATGGAGTCTCTGTGGAAAAGGCACTGGTGGAAGATAAGGTTTAAGCGGTGGTGGCACATATATCTTTTCTTTCTCTTATTCTACTTTCTCCACTTTTTCTTCATTAATCTGCTTACTCTCTACTTTCTTCTCATCAGTGGTCACATTCACTTCAGTGGTCTTTGGTTCTTCCTTGTCACCCAACTGCTTCCCACTTCTCAACATGATAGCACTATAATTTTCACGAGGGTTGATTTCAGACTTACTTGGCAGTTGACCTTGCCCACGAGTATTCATGGCGGAGGCCATTTGACTCACTTGCAACTCCAAGGTTCTATGAGCAGTAGTCAATTGATCTAACCTTGATTCTATTCTGTTAAACCGTTCAGTGTTTTCACTCAACAATTTCTCCATTCTCACCAAACTTTCCTCTGTAGCTGTCTTAGGCGCGGATTGGTATGACTTTGCTTGGAAACCAGGAGGGTTTTGAGGTCTTGCATTAAAGTCTTGAGCCCCTTGATTATTCCAAGAAAAGTTTGGATAATTTCGCCACCCAGGATTGTATGTGTTGGAGTAAGGATTGTTCTGCTGCTGAGGCTTGCTGAAATTAGAGACATATTGTGCACTTGCCAGTTGCATACATTCAGAGCTCACATGAGAACCTCCACAGAACTCATAGACAGTGGCATGGAAGACTGCATTAGCATTTACAAGAGTACCCATCGCCTTGGTCAGTGCATCTATCTTTGCGTTCATGGCACTAAGCTCATTGACTTCATACATTCCAGCAAGCTTCTTAGAAACACTTCTCGAGTTCGACCATTGATTCCTATTCTTTGCCATAATTTGAAACAATTCATAGGCATCATCAATTGATTTATCCATTAATGAACCTCCAGCTGCAGCATCCACATTGTTTCTTGCAAAGTCTGTCAATCCTTGATAGAAAGTTTGAACTAGAATACTTTTCTCAATACCATGGTGAGGATATCTTCTTTGCAATTCCTTAAATCTTGTCCATGCAGCATGAAATGTCTCATCA